CTGACTACAGGAAGCCCCTGCCCCGGGCTTCCTGGAATCAGCCGCTGATCAGTTTCAGCAGCAGCTGACTTGGGGATGCCTGGGGTTCTTAAGTTGAATCTGTATGTAAGTCAGAACTGGTGTCCAGATTCAGCCACTGTTGAAACTGATCAGTTTCAGCAGCGGCTGAATCTGGACGCCAGTTCCGACTTACATACAGATTCAACTTAAGAACAAACCTACAGTCCCTATCTTGTACGTAACCCGGGGACTGCCTGTACAGACTCAGTAGAAGGTAAGCTTTCGGTTGACACCTCACATGGCCCCCTTTGTACCAACTTTTGGGGCAAACACCCCCCCATGGGTGCAGCAGTGAACTGGCTGCTTCCCATAAAATCCAGTAATGGTCCGTCACACGGACTCAACATTAACATTGGTTGTTTGGAGAGTATGTGGTGGAGTAGGTATGATGCGAGGTATCCTTCCCCGGGAGCCAAGATCTCTGCCCGTTCTGGGGAGGAGCGCTATTGTGTAGCATGGTTTGGGAGCCAGGGCAGAGAGAATGTTGTGTAATAAGGAGACAAGGGCCTGACCCATTGGGCAGCCATTTACACCCGTGCAAAGTGTGTGCTAATGGCATGCAATTCCTGTCAGCACAATTCATCCCTCCAGTAAGCACCTTGTCCCTTAGCACGCACATGACAATCGGCCTGCGTGATCCACCAGTCTGTGTTCCTGTCATGCTGCTCACCTGCACGCCATTAGTGGACACCCACTTTGGGAGCACCGCTCTCTCTGGCATGCCATTTTACTTGGCCCCACATGCCCCTGACCAGAGCACCTCAGCCAGAGGCTGCCCAAAACAGTCTGCCAGTCTAAGCAAAACTCAGTGTGTCACCCCATCCTCATAGGCTGCGGGTGGCAGATTTGGCCTGGCATGTCAAGGAGAAGGAGGCACGGGGGCCAAATCTGAGTGGATGACATTGAAACCTGGTGTGCAAAGTTACAGCATCACTCTACTTTAGTCTGCACGCTCCCAGCGTGCTGGAGGAGCAGCTGCCTGTAGCTGGAGAAGCCTCTGACCCACAACCACCTCACACTGCAGCTCAAGCAGCCAAATCTCCTGGCAGCCCATCCACCTGGCACTCGATGCCCCCTGCACCCAGACACCTTTGGCACTTAACTACCCGTCAGCCTGTTCCCCTAGCCCTTCTCCCCTCTCAGCCAGCCCTGACAGCGTTGCTGATGGGGGCCTGCAAAGCAGCTGTGGAGAGTAGGGAAGATCGGGTTGGCTGCTATGAATTGGATTAAAAACTGCCCACAGGTTTCCATACCACAGTTCTGCAGTCGCCCCTTGAGCTAAGGTGTCGAGCGGCACAGGCAGGGCTCCCTCTTCCTCCATTATCATGATTTATCTAGGCCAGTGGATCTCAAACCCTTGTATTGGTGGCCCCTTCTGAGCAGCAAGCCTATGAGTGCAATCCCCCCCTTATACATTTAATGCTCTTACAAATGCTGGAGGCAAAGTGGGGGTTGGGTGACGGCTGACAGCTCGTGACCCCCCATAACAACCTTAGAACTGCTGCCCAGGAGATATCTGGCAGAGCACTCTCAGCCTCCCACAGCCAATAGCAGGTGTTTCTATAGGTAGTGCACATCTGCCCATGCTTTGGTGCACATAACAAAATGTATTCCACACACAACTGGAAAAATAGAGGGAACATTGGGCTGTAGGCTTTGTACTTAACCAGGCTCTCCTGGTTATGGAAACTATCCAAGCTGCTTCCTGTAGCTGCAGGCTGGTGCTTAAGACCAGCAGTGTCCCACACAAAGAGTATGTCACTGGTGGGATTACAGCATGTGGAGACGTACCTGAGATGGCGCTGATTGAGTTCAAGGGACCTGGGCCTGGCCTGTGCCAGTTAACTTGGGCACGTGGGGCTCAGGCTGCCGAGTTATTTGATTGCAGGGTTGGGCTGGGGCCTGGGCTGAGTGCTCCAGTCACATTTCTGATTGCGGCGTAGACCTTGGCAGCTGCTTACCGTGTCTCTAGTTACAGCTCCCTAGTAGGAGGTAACACTGCATGCTTCCAGTGGTGATTCCCGTTACATGGTGAGGGCTATCAGCCACCTATGTCCTCTGAGTCTTCATCTCCACCCTGGCTGCATTCCATCCCCTGTCCCCTTCGGCCACTGGGGCGTCTCCCCAGGTCAGCAAAGGCTGCATTAGATGCTGTAGGCTGAGCTTTGCAAGACGGGTATGAACATTTGACTGGTTTTTTGTTCTATTCCAGTCACACGGTGCCCTGAGCTGCGAGGCCTGGAGCCAGTTCTTATGAATTGCTCCCACCCTCTGGGACCTTTCAGCTACAGGTCAGCATGCCGCTTCCGCTGCACTCCGGGCTACTTCCTCAATGGGACAAGCAGGGTGCAGTGCCAGCCAGATGGGCAGTGGTCAGACAAGATGCCTGCCTGCCAAGGTACATTGTTTTGCTATTTGGAGCGGTGCTTTTCCCTGGCAGTCCCTTTGCTGGAGCAAGACAACTGGGCGAATGTGGAGCGGCTCAAGTGGGAACTCAGCATCTCCGGGGTGGGGAAGGAGTTCTGTGGGCTGGCAAATGAGGCTGGGCTGGATATCAACCGGAGCAGGACCTTTTGGGGGCAGTTACAGCCCTTTGCAAAGCAGCACACTTCAGTGAAAGCAGCAAGCACTAGAGCTGCACACAGACGGGGTGACCAGTGGACACCAGACACTAACCTGCCCAGTATCCTGTCTCTGGCAGGAACCAGCACCAGATGTTGCTGGGGAAAGTGGAAGAAGCCCGGGGCCATCATTACCCATATACAGATTATGCAGCTGTGTAGGGTACCTGAAAATTTGGGGCACCACTAAGTGTTAATGTCCATCCACCTGCCTCTTCCTATCCCGTTCTATGATTCTGCTTCCTCCAGAGAGGATCTAGTTCACTTAACAGTGAAAAAGCCTGTGCCAGAGTGATTAGCAGAACCCTGAACCTGTGAAAGAGCCATTCGAGTGGTAGCAAAGCCATTTAATAGGCATTTGCCAACCCCTATCAGTTTCTGATTTGACTGTGTTAGACTACAGGACCTTAGTTTAAAATTCATTTTAAAAATATTTCATTAGTGTGCTGCTGATGATTATAAAATTCCATCTCTAAAAACTTATGCCCCCCAGCTCCCATCGGGCATAGGGGCACTAGTTTGAATTTAAGTGCAATCGAGGATCTACCTTAAACCCAAATACCCTGGCCCCACCTCCTTCCTGCCCCTTTTCTGGGGCCCCGCCTCTGCTCACTCCATCCTCCCTCCCTTTTCCCATCCTCCGTCCATTCCACCAGGCAGGGGCAGAAGGTTGGGGCACTTGCTCTGGTCTTTGAAATGTGAGAAGGGCTCTGAGCTGAGCCTGGGGCAGGGGGCTGGGGAGCAGGAGGGGGTTCAAGATTGGGGCAGGGGTTCGCAGCTTGCTCCAGCTGGGCACTGCTTACCTCAGGCTAAGGCAGGCTCACCCCTGCACCACTCTCCAAAGCAGCCAGCAACCTCCCTCCATCCCCAGCCCTGTTGTGCTCCCCCTCCATTCTGTGGAGACAGAATCCAGGGTGGGAGGGGGCCCCCTGACATCAGCACCCCCTCCTCTCCCTTCACTGCTCTGCACAGCAAGCGGGAGGCTCCTGGGGTGGGGGCGGGAGGCAAGCTGTAAGGCAAAGGGCAGGAGATGTGCAGCAGTGGGGCGAGGGGCAGGTGAAGTGCGGCCACTTGGCAGCCTCTTGGCCAAAGCAGTCAAGAGCCCCTGTCAGGGGCTCCAAGATCCACCAGTCGATCCTGATCGACTGGTTGGTGCCCACTGGTGTAGGGCCGCATAGATCATAAGCGTGGCCCTGAAGAAGCCCCACAGCAGGCAGGTTTGGAATGGTTTGTTCCACTCGTTGGGTTGGCTCAACAGGGGAGCACCCGTCCCTCCAAGACTCTGTATCTAGTGCAGTGGTTCCCAAACTTTTCAGCATCATGCCCCCTTTTGGATTTTTGAGAAACCCTAACGCCCCCCCCCCTTTCCCCAACAGCAGCAAAACTTGTTGAATAAAAAAAAAGGAACTGACGGGGGCTGAAAAACAAAAATAGCAGCAAAACTTTGGAGGAGGGGGGGACATGATCTGGTGTTTGCTGATGCCTTGCTGGGCCTGGAGAGTATTAGCACTTGGAGTCAGAGTGTCAGCAGCACACTGGCGTGCTAAGTGTATTGGATTGGAATTTGCCACCTTCCCTTTCACTGAATATCCCCTGGTGCTATGAGGCTGGGAAAACACTCTCCAGGCGTCATTTATTGGGGCCCCATCTACAGCAATGACCCAGTGTCCCGCCTTCGCTTTGTGTGCTGGGCCTGGAGAGTATTAGCACTTGGAGTCAGAGTGTCAGCAGCACACTGGCGTGCTAAGTGTATTGGATTGGAATTTGCCACCTTCCCTTTCACTGAATATCCCCTGGTGCTATGAGGCTGGGAAAACACTCTCCAGGCGTCATTTATTGGGGCCCCATCTACAGCAATGACCCAGTGTCCCGCCTTCGCTTTGTGTCTCTAGCCAGCCTGCTTTCATCCTGCTCTAGATTTTCCTTATTATGCTCCATCCAGTTTCATTTGCATCCTAACCATTTGGTTGGTTTGTTGGCGGCCGCAGCACAGAAAGCAGAGCAGTGTGCGCCATCGAATTGTCCTTAGCGATGCCCACGTCGATTTCCTGAGCTCGCACAGCTTATGTAGAACTCCAGTATGATGTAGGGTGGTTCGAGTTATTCTCTCCAGCCAGAAACGGCTGTGTCCACGCACCTTTTACATGGATGTAACTGGGTGGGCAGGGGGCCATATTGCCCCTCCACACTGCAAGTCCAGGTAGGCACAAAGTGATACAGGGAGCTAATCATCAGGGAAGTGCAGCCACTGCACATAGCACCAGCCTCTTCCCAGTGGGGGGGCCCAGCTGGGCCTTAGTGCCCCCCCCACTAGGCCTGGCCAGTGTTCACAGCCCTGCCCTTGCTCCTCCTTTTCCCCAGATGTCCTGTCCTCTCTAGCCAGGACAGAGGCTGGAGCTGGGCCATGGTAAGAGCCTTCCAAGGAGACCAGGCCACTGTGGAGAGCCCTAGGCCCTCCAGCACAGGGGAGGCAGGGTCTTGGGGAACGATGAGGGGACCACAGAAGAGGCAGGGCCTCAAGAGTCTCTACTTCTTCTCAGGCTCTGGCACTCTTGCCTCCAGCACATATTACTTGGAATTTATCTGACTTAGGAGCAGGACTCCTGGTAACTTTCGGTGGGATTCAGGAGTTTTACGCTCTGATTGTTAAAGGTCCAAGTGACTCAATACAGCTAGGTCACTTTTCAAAAGTGGCGGAGTCCTTTGGAGGGACTTAGCTGTCCAAGTCACGGAAGGCCACATTTTAACAAGTATTGGAGCACCTAAAGATTCAGACAGGGGCCTAATGAGAGTGTCAGGGGCATCTAACTTCCAGAGTTCAGCACCTCGCCTGCTTAGGTGTTTTTGTGACTCCCACTAGGGCCTGTTTGTCTCACTAGGGACCTAAATACCTTTGAAAATCTGGTTCTAAGTCCCTTAGGCACAAGAATGGCCATACTGGATCAGACCAAAGGTCCATGTAGCCCAGTATCCTGTCTGCCGACAGTGGCCAATACCAGACGCCCCAGAGGGAGGGATCACAACAGATAATCCTGATGTGATCCCTCCCCTGTCACCCACCTCCAGAGAAACAGAGGCTAGGGATACCATTCCTACCCATCCTGGTTAATAGCCATTGATGGACCTAACCTCCATGAATCTATCTTGCTCTTTTTTTAACCCTGTTAAAGTTTTAGCCATCACCGCATCCTCTGGCAAGGAGTTCCACAGGTTGACTATGCGCTGTGTGAAGAAAAACTTCCTTTTGTTTATTTTAAACCTGCTGCCTATAGTTGGGATTATTTTTTCCAATGTTCATTATTTTACATTTATCAACATTAAATTGCATTTGCCAGTTTGATGCCCAATCACTTAGTTTGGTGAGATCTTTTTGAAGTTCTTCACAGTCTGCTTTGGTCTTAACTACCTTGAGCAGTTTGGTATCATCTGCAAATTTTGCCACTTCACTGTTTACCCCTTGCTCTAGATCATTTATAAATAAGTTGAATACGATGAGTCCCAGGATAGACCTTTGGGGTACCCCACTAGTTATCTCTCTCTATTAAGAAAACTTACCATTTATTCCTACCTTTTCTTTCCTGTCTTTTAACCAGTTATCAATCCACAAAAGGACCTTCCCTCTTATCCCATGACAACTTACTTTACTTAAGAGCCTTTGGTGAGCGACCTTGTCAAAGGCTTTCTGGAAATCTAAGTCTACTAAATCCACTAGATCCCCCTTGTCTACCTGTTTGTTGACCCTCTCAAAGAACTGTAGCAGATTAGTAAGGCATGATTTCCCTTTACAGAAACCATGGTGACTTTCCCCCAACAGATTATATTCATCCATGTGTCTTACAATTTTATTCTTCACTATAGTTTCAACTAATTTGCCCTGTACTGAAGTTAGACTTACAGGTCTGTAATTGCCAGGATCACCTCTAGAGCCCCTTTTAAATATTGACATCACATTAGCTATCTTCCAATCATTATGTACAGACTCTGATTTAAAGGATAGGTTACAAACCACAGTTTATAATTCCGCAATTTTCAATCTGGGACAATTTCTCAGATTTGTCTCCTAAAAAGAATGGCTCAGGTTTGGGAATCTCCCCAATATCCTCAGCCTTGAAGACTGAAGGAAAGAATTAATTCAGCTTCTCTGCAATGACTTAATCATCTTTGAGTGCTCCTTTAGCATCTTCACCATCGAAGGGCCTCACTGGGGGTACATCTACATATAATTAGACGTATCAAAATTGCTAATGAAGCGGGGATTAAATATCCCATGCTTCATTAGTATAAAAATGGCCACCACTTTTTTTTGGCATGGAGCTTTGTTGGAGAAAAGCAGCAGTCTAGAGGCTGATCTTTCGAGAAATAAAGCCTTTTTCAAAAGATCCCTTATCCCTCGTGAAATGAGGTTTACAGGATCTTTCGAAAAAGGCTTTATTTCTCGAAAGATCAGCCTCTAGACTGCTGCTTTTCTCTGACAAAGCTCCCTGCCGAAAAAAAGCAGTGGCCATTTTTATGCTAATGAAGTGCGGGATATTTAAATCCCTGCTTCATTAGCAATTTCGATGTGCCTAATCTGCATCTCTTTGTCAGCAGAGAGATGCAGTCTAGACACACCCTTGTTGTTTAGCTGGCTTCCTGCTTCTGATGTACTAAAAAAAATTTTGCTTTTACTTTTTGAGTTTCTGGCTAGCTGTTCTTCAAACTCCTTTTTGGCTTTTCTTATCATATTTTTACACTTAATCTGACAAAGTTTATGGTCCTTTCTATTTTCCTCACTAGGATTTGACTTCCATTTTTTTAAAACATATCTTTTTATCTGTCACTGATTCTTTTACATGGTTGTTAAGCCACGGTGGCTCTTTTTTGGTTCTCTTACTGTGTTTTTTAATGTGGGGTATACATTTAAGTTGGGCCTCTATTATAGTGTCTGGAAAGTTTCCATGCAGCTTGCAGAGATTTTTCTTTTGTCACTGTACTGTTTAATTTCTGTTTCACCGACTTCCTCATTTTTGTGTAGTTCCCCTTTCTGAAATTAAATGCCACAGTGCTGGGCTGCTGAGGGGTTTTTCTCCCCACAAGGATGTTAAATTTTATTATATTATGGTCACTATTTCCAAGTGGTCTAGTTATATTTACCTCTTGAACCAGATCCTGCGCTCCACTTAGGACTAAATCAAGAATAGCCTCTCCCCTTGTGGGTTCCAGAGCCAGCTGCTGCCAGAAGCAGTCACTTAAGGTATCAAGAAATTGTATCTCTGCATCCTGTCCTGAGGTGATGTGTACCCAGTCAATATGGAGATAGTTGAAATCCCCTATTATTATTGAGTTTTTAAATTTGATAGCCTCTTTAATCTCCCTTAGCATTTCATAGTCACTATCACTGACCTAATCAGGTGACGGATAATATATCCCGATTGCTATATTCTTATTATTGGAGCATGGAATTTCTATCCATAGAGATTCTATGGAACATTTTGGTCATTTAAGATTTTTAATTCATTTGAGTCTATATTTTCTTTCACGTATAGTGCCACTCCCCCACCAGCACGACTGTTTCTGTTCTTCTGATATATTTTGTACCTTAGTATGATTATGTTCCATTTGATTGTCCTCATTCCACCAAGTTTCCGTGATGCCTATTATATCAATATTCTCCTTTAAAACTAGGCACTCTAGTTCACCCATTTTACTATTTAGACTTCCAGCATTTGTGTATAAGCACTAATTTGTCACTAATTATCCATCTGCCATTCCTTGATGCATTAGACTTTCTTTTGATTGTATCTCATCTGATCCGACCCATATTTCCATCCTCCCCTCCTGACTAGAACACAGAGCATCTCTATTAATAGAATTTCCCCTAATTGACATCTCTGTTCAATCCATGTGCACTTTTGAAAAATTTACCCGCAGTGATCTGAACCCTAACATGTTGGCCTGGGAATTTATTTCAGAAGAGGCCGCTTCTTATTTCAAGCAAGTTCTGCTTTACATGGGTGTTGGAGCTGTGGCCCTTGTGGCTGTGTTGCTGACAAGTATACCCATAGTTCTACTAATCAGGCGTCTCAGTGACAAAGGTAAGACGTGCATGGCTTTGTTTGCGCCTTTGGTTACTGCTGAGGGCATTTGCCTTGAAACAAGTGATTTATCCTTGGAAGTGCAGTTAAAGTCAGAAAAGTGATTCAAAATGGTCCCTTATTAGTCCACGTGGCTCATCCCTAAAAAGACATGACAAAATGAGAGAAAGGGAGCCCTATCATCCCTGTTTTACAGAAGGCAAAATGAGGCTTGTTGAGATGAAGGGGCTGAGTCAACCCTCACTAAAGTCAACAGAACCAGTGTGGCTGCTGCTGCTATTTTCAGGAAGGTCCAAAAGTCTAAAATACAGAAGACTAGCATGGTATTGTTGAAGGAGACTCCCAGAGAACCACCCTACGATCTACCAGAAACTATTTTTTGGAGGGTAACTGATGTTCAGTAAACAAAGCCCCAGCATAGAGATAGAAGCACTGTGAGCTGCATCTTGTTTTCCTGGGCCTCCAAATAATAATTTCACCTATCCCAGAGACCTTGCCTCTGTACCCCTTGGTTCAGATGGCATGTTTAAGGTGGTCCCAGTTCTCTTCCCTCCTTCCAGGCCTGGAGTGTCACCAGCTGGAGTGGGGCATATGCACCCGAGCACAGTCCACTAACCACCTCAGAGCGTTAGGGTGAGAAACTGCTTCAGCCACATGCTTGTCATATCCTTCACTGATAAGGTCTGTTTTGTTGTTGTTTCTACTCCATCCCGGGGATGTTTCAATTCCATCATCAGAGGAAACAAAAAGGCTGCTGAATCCTACCAGGTAAGAGCAATGTGTTCTGTGAGCTTACCACGCTAACTTGTACCATGGCTTTCCCAAGTACTGCAGCTACCAGGAAGCTTGCCAGTCCTATTTTTCCTCACCCACCCTTCGACAAATTTTAGCCTTTTCAGTTAAACATTCATGACCAACTCAAAGGTCAATATTCTGAAAGCCTGCATAGGAATGTTTTGTAGTTTCAAGCGCAAGATGTGTAAGCCACTTTCTCCCATCATAAAATGCCAGATAGTCCTTACATGAATAACTCTAGTGCTGAATCAGCTGGGGCTATAAAGCTAAGTTCTGGCAGGGAGATTGACACCTTCTCAAAATGGGCTTTGAGACTTACAATGAGAACTGGTTTTGATTAGACCCAGTGATGAGCCTTTGCAAATCACATTTTGTGCATATGCAGAGGCATGATAGATGGGTTTTTAACAATGATTTGCCAGGGTTCCAAAGACAGGATGCACTTTTTTGCATGTGTTGCTAATGAGACTGCATGCACATTAGAAACAATTGGTCAGTAGATGCTGACAGAGTGAACTAGGGCTCTATTGGAGTCATGCCCAGGTCAATGGGATTGTCTTGCCTGCTCTGTGTATGGATGATTTATTACTAATTTCCAGTTTTTAAAATAATAGCCATTTCTTTCATTTGGTCCTTTAAAAATTGCAGTTCCAGGGGCCTCTGTTAATCTATATTGTGAGAATTTAAAGTGTGTTCCACCATAGAGCCAAAAACATCATGGCATGTAGTCCCTGAGCGTGACCCATCTTGTCCATGGTGTTGTTTTATTAGACCTGGATTTCTGTGCAGAGCAGGCTCAAGTCTGGAAGGACAGTATAGGCTTTGTAAACAATAAACTGAAGAATGGCTCAAAAGATGGTGTCATTAATTTCATTGTTGTTGGCTTGTAATATGGATCCATATGAAGACAGGTACAAACTTGGAGTATAGTCATGAGTGGTTGGTTACAGCATTCCATTCAGGAGATAGAAAGGCTCTGATAACACAGGCAGTGCTTCATTTGGGAAAACATGTAAATCTGCAAGAGCTGTCATATCTGAGCCTAATTCATACTTTGCAGAGGGTGGAAGAACGAGCTCCTTAAGAGAGAAAAGGCCTTTTTGGGCCCATGTTAGGGGTTCTCTCATTTCCTATCACTCCAGGCTTATACCAGTGTGTTTCTGTTGTTGTCTAGTGACCTGGGAGCAGCTGGTGTCTTTACAAATGCTGCGTTTGACTCCACTTTGTAAGGTAAACTGTCAAAGAAATCAGTCTTGAAATGCAAATTTATTTCTGAGAGACAGGGCGAGTGAGATAATACCTTGTATTGGACCAGCTTCTGTAGGTGAGCGAAACAAGTTTTCAAGCCACACAAAGCTCTTCTTCAGGCCTGGGAAATGTACTCCAACCCTCTAACTCAGTGGTTCTCATGTTCTGCGACCCCCTTCTGACAACAAAAATGGCTACATGACTCCAAGGGAGGAGACCTAAGCTGGAGCCCACTGGCTTGGGTGGAAGATGGGGGCGGGGGGCAAAGCCAAAGCCGAGCCCTATTGCTAAGGGGCAGGGGAGCCAAAGTACAAGGGCTTCAGATGGGGGGGAGGCTGTACCCTGAGCCCCACCAGACAGTGCTGATGCCCTCTGACTTTGCCTTGAGTCCCAGGCAGTAGGGCTCAGGCATTGGCCACAGGAAGTGGAGCTTGGGCCTTGCCTTCAGCCCTGGGCCCCAGCAAATGTAACACTAGCATTGGCAACACCACTAAAACACGGTGACACCCACTTTGGGGTCCTTACCCACAGTTCTCAAATGCTCCCTGCTCTAAACGCAAGATGGAACAGTGTTTAGCATAAGTAATTAGCATCTATACCAAGGGACCATTCAAGGTAAAGTGGCCCATTGTCACCCCTGCATTGTCACAGGACAAAAAACTTTAGTGGGTAGCAGATTGCTGTCATGAGCCATAATCCTGCTCTCTGTTTAGTAGTCCATGATTTTTCCTGTCTAGCACAGTTATGAATTTAAGCTCCCAGGCTCATCTCCTGCAATGTTGTGTAGGTTTCTTTTGGGGATGAGGACAGAGGGATCAGATATACAGTGATTGCTTTGTGTGGTCCCTTACATTTTGTGCAAACTACTTATGCTTAACAATCTCCTCCATCCTGCATCTAGTTGTGACACTCTAGCTGTTTTTCTAGACCTGAAAAGCTCTGTGTGGCTCAAAAGCTCGTCTCTCTCACCAACAGAAGTTTGGTTGGTCCAATAAAAGATATTACCTCACCCATCTTGTCTCCCTAGTAGCCTGGGATCAACACCATGTATATGGATTTTAGTGATAAACACAAAGGTCTACTCTTGCCTCTGTTAAAACAATCTCACATTGGAATGAAACGTTTATTTTTATTGTAAATGTGACTGGAATACACTGGCCAAGAGGGTTTTTGTCTTCTCTTGTGTCTGGTTCATATTTGTGAATGAGTGACAGTTGCCAGCTAGAGAAGTTATCTCTTTAGCTAGCCTCTGCTGTTGGTGCTGGTTTCAATCCCCAGTGACAACTCATGGGGAAAAACTTAAAACTAACACTGCTACCCCTCTGAGACTTTTTAACTCATGGGGAGGGAACCTGGGCTAAAGAAGTCCAGTTAGCTGGTGACAGTAACTTACCTTGTTACAGCCCTGGCTGAGTCTCCACTCTGGACAGTCACTAATCTGCTGTATGGGGCCCAACCTTTGGTTTCCTTTGTGGGTACTAGAGTTTATAGTTTAGATCTTTGGGGACAACATGACAGTTAAATCAAGGAACACAGTCTATAAACACTCACTTGACTCTTAGATGGTACAAGAGTTACAGATCTAAGGCAAAATAACAAACATCTGCACACAGTTCTCTTCCTCCAAGAGGTCACCTCTCCTTTTAATCATCTGGGGGTTGGTTAGGGTTCTTGTCGGCAGGCAAGCCTCCCGCCCCTCCCGCCAGCATGTCTTCTTTTCTGGCAGTGCTAGATCCCTTGTACAGGCAGTATGTGTCTGTCAGGTGGTCAGCTGGAGGAAAACAGCAGTTCAGTCAGGGAGGGAATTCCAGCATCTCCCTTTCCCAAACAGGTGTCTGTGGCCTGGCTTACAATTTAAAAGTTCAGTTGATCTAAGCCCTTGTATAGACAGCAGTAGGTCAAAAGAAGAATTCTTCAGTTGGCCTAATTATTACCTCTCAAGGGGGTCAATTAACTAGTGACAGGAAAACTCATTCTGTCAATGTAGCAAGATCCTACAATACAGTGCTACAGCAGCACAGCTGCCAAACTCAGCTACACCGCCTACGCATCACACTTCTTCAGGCACAATCTGTTCACTATGTGCCAGGACCCTGCTAGCAACCAGCTGAGCTAAGTCACAGTGACTGTTATAATTACACATTATATTGCACATAGCAAAATGGAATTTGTAAGTTAACCCAGACATAGTCGCCAAATGGTCATAATCTCTTATGTGAACCAGTCACTAGAAGCAGACAAAGACCATCTTCTCCAACTTGTCACATGAGAGTCCACTGTGGTTTGATGTGTGTTTATTTTACTGTCTAAACTACATGCATTACTGAATAGGATTTCAAGTAGGGATATTAAATTTAGATTAATTGGCTAATCGTATAGTCAATGCAATTTGCATCAACTATTCAATTAGTTGATAAGGGCACCTCCGTCTTTGAAGTGTAGCAACAGCTCCAGGGCTGTTGCTACACTTCAAAGGCGAAAGGCCTTGGGGGGAACACAGAGCCAGCAAAGAACTCAAGCAGTCTTCTGCTGGCCCCGTGCTCCGCACAGCATTTCAAAGTGGCAACGCACGCAGCACTGCCGCTTTGAAATGCCGCGTGCAGCCCGGGGCCAGCATGCGGCCTTTCAAAACGGCAGACCCTGGGCTCCACACAGTGCTGCCCCTTTGAAACTCTGCATTCAGCAAGAGCCAGTTGCACTTGGCGTTTCAAAGCAGTAACACAGTGTGAAGCCAAGTGTCTAGTCCCAGGCTCACTGTGGCGCTGCTGCTTTGAAGCACCCTCCCTTTTCCCCACTCTTGTTGCCTCTTTCTGATAGAGGCAGCAGGGGGTGGAGACTAGTCGACTAGTTGTTCACATCCTTAGTTTCAACCTGTGTATCATGGCCATCCCCCTTTCTCTGAGGGCAAATGGGAGGAGTGTCATGATTTTTTTTTAATTGTGATATGGGGTCATGACATGGAAAAGGATGAGAACTCTTGTGCTAGAGGAACTGGTACATCATGCGTTCTAGCCTGGCCCTAAAAAGATCTCTAGAAGCTTCAATACATGAGACAAACTCTTCTCCCTATTCACTCCACAAGCATGTGAATAACTCAGAAAGGAACAAACTGAGCTTTGCCAAACACTACAAAGAAACTCTTCTTTGGGTGATTTCTTCTTCTCTTATTCATAGCTAAAGTGAAAGGTGCCCCCAGGAAAGAAGATCACTGGAAGTGAAAGGACCTGAAGATGGTACTCGTGCCTCAATCCTTTTAGAAGATGTTTTTATAGTTTACGGCTCAGATTTGTCATCCTCCAGTGCAAGAGTTCATAGCGACTGACAGGGATTAAACTAACCCTGGTACACACATCCAGTTCTGATCTGAAATCTGAGCTTGTTCTCCTCTGACACTGGACTTTGGTTCACCATCTAGTTGTATCATGTAAAGGTCCCCAAGATATTTTGTTATTTCATCCATCTCCCTATCTAATGCTCTGAAAGGACCTCCAGACCTGGGGCCTCGTACCTAAACCCTCAATCGCTCACTTGACCCAGCCTGACCATCATAATATTCAACAGTCACAAAGAATTCCATATCTTCTAAGTGCTTGAGGAGTACATTGTTACTGTTCTGCAAAGTGTCTGTCACCTCCTAAGGTAAATTGGCTAAATTGTGTATTCCTTCTGCCTTGTTCTCCAGAAGTGCTTATTATGCACAGCATATGGGGTTTTTTGGAGTATTGCTTTTTTTATAAGTCAAACCTGATGCTTTTTTGTTACTGGTGAACTATGACAAGTTTTGTACAATAGCTAGTAGTGAGACAAGTTATCAAGTCTCAAGTTACCACTTGCCCTTCACAGACATTTTCCAGCTTCTTGTCTTCTTTCTTTGCCTGTGCTGGTGGATCATGGTGTTGCCCCACCTGCACTGGAACATCTTGCAGAAACAGAGCAGTTGGAGGGGACAGCCCTCTAAGAAAGAGACAGCTGGCTGGAACTTGAAGCTGTGTTGACTAGGGAACGGAGACACGAGACAATGTTACAGAGGTTGCCATTCTTTGCCTGAATGTCTTCTTGAGATTTTCAAGCTGGGATCTTCCTCCTCACAAAAGCCTGGTATGATGAGCAATAGCTCAGTAAGCAGACTTTGGAGGCTGACTTATTCCCTTCATTAAACTCATACACCTTCACTAATGCCATTGGCTTTAGACAGGAAAACTTAAGCATACAGTGATTTGATTTTTTTTTTCTAGGCAGCCTGTATTAGTGTTTCTACAGGTTGAACCTCTCTAGTCCAGCACCCTGGGGATGTGACTGGTGCAAACCAGAGAATTTGCTGAACTAAGGGAGCTCAATGCAGAGTGCCAGCAGGTCTCTACAGGCAGGGGAAGTATGAGTGTGAGGCAAAGCTCATGCTAAGCTGCATGGCAGTGCCGCTGTCTAGCTGCTTAATCAGCCCCACCTCGGGGCACAGGGCTGCCACGCACAGGGTTGCCTGGCTGTGGGAGGGACACCTTTTCCTCAGCTACAACTCCTCCCTGCTGGGGACGGAGGAGAGCGCCTCTCCCAGCCAGTATGGATGGGACATTAGGAGGGAAGAGTCACTGGGGAGGGGAGTTTGGACAGCCCATCTGAAGAGAAGACAGACTGCTCTCATTATAGGCAGCTACCTATGAAAAACCCAGCAAGCTCTTCCAGTCCTTGGCTGGGCAGGGACAGTGAGGGCAAGGAAGCAAACTGCATGCAGTGGGTGGGTGACATACGGGGTGGGTGGGTGCTGGCAGTGGGGAAGTGGGGGTGGGGAATTTGTTTATGGTGTGACCTCCTGACTCCCAGCTGAGCTGCAGCTGCCTGTGCCTACAACTCCAAAACAAAAGGTGTAGCCAGAAGGGCCCACTTGGGTGGGTAAGAATTAGAGGGGGGAGTGGAACAGGAGGGATAGTGGGGTAAGTCCCGACCCCACTCCCTGGCTGGAGCACCAGAGCAGAGTGAAATATGCGCTGCCCCCGCTCCCCAGTGCTCACCCTTGGCTATGCCCTGCTCTGAAAGGCAGGATGCTCTTCCAGTCTCTGGCAGGAGCCGTGTGTAGGGGAGCACAGATAGCATGGGGCTAGGTGGGGGGAAAGGCTGTTAGTGGGTCCCGGCGTCTGTGCGGTTGGGGGGGGAGGGTAGTCGGCTTGGGCCTATCCTGACTCTCGTTTGGTCTGCAGCAAGAGTCAGACCCTTTCTGTCTCAGCACAGCAGTCCTAGCTAGGCTGCAGGTGCAGGGGAGAGACAACAGGGAGGCAGGCTGCATGGGGAAGGGTGCCAAAATTTCAGGTGGGTTTTACGGGCATGTAGCTACATGGGAGATGGGGTGCTGCTGGGGAAATTCCTTTGTCTCATTATTGCACCAGAGGGAGCATAGATAGTTCAAGTAGATCTTTCCTTTTGCTTGTTGAGGCTGGAGTGAGGAGGACTTGGTACTAATTATCAACTGACTGATGTCATAATTACAAGATCTGAAATATGCCAGGAAAAATATGATGAGGGAAAGAATAACGTAGCACTCTGTTTTCCACTGTTAGACTTAAAGATAAACACAAAATGGTGAATCCTCTGCAGTTCTATATAAAATATGTGTTTTCCTAGTATGGGCAGGAAGAGATACAGAACGGGCTCGTCTACACTGGCCCCTTTTCCGGAAGGGGCATGTTAATTTCAGCTATCGTAGTAGGGAAATCCGCGGGGGATTTAAATATCCCCCGCGGCATTTAAATAAAAATGTCCGCCGCTTTTTTCCGGCTTTTAGAAAAGCCGGAAAAGAGCGTCTACACTGGCCCCGATCCTCCGGAAAAAGCGCCTACTTTGAAGTAGGAATAAGAGCCTCCGGAAAAGGGCGCTTTTTCCGGAGGATCGGGGCCAGTGTAGACGCTCTTTTCCGGCTTTTCTAAAAGCCGGAAAAAAGTGGCGGACATTTTTATTTAAATGCCGCGGGGGATATTTAAATCCCCCGCGGATTTCCCTACTACGATAGCTGAAATTAACATGCCCCTTCCGGAAAAGGGGCCAGTGTAGACGTAGCCAACTTGTTTTTAGTCATGTTGAGTTTACAGGAGGCCATTTGCCTGGAGATGTTCAAAAGACTGGGCTAAAATTTAGTTTTGTTTTGGTGGGAGACGGATCCAGAGCAGAGAAGTAAAGAGAGCTGAGAGATTCTGCACTAGCAGATCTTAATGCAGGATCCGTCTTCACTTGTATTGGTGTTTTCCTACCATAAAGCATTTAGGCTGCTTTTGTAGATAAGGATTCATGCTTTAGTGAATGAATGCTGGAGCAAAATCTTAGGGATATGCTTAGCTCATGACATTTGCATGATAAAGTTTAAATAGGTGTTAACAGCTTAAGATCAGAAAAAGATTCTCTTAACAGAATCTTTTGGAGTATTGTAGATGTCTGGAAAGTCTATCTTATTTTTTTATATCCTGTATTACTAATTAAAATATGACAAATTGTTAAAACTGGAAGAACTTTACCATGGATCTTGTTTATTTGTTTGGCCTTTTAAATAGAGTTGGATTCCAGACAAGTGATTTCCATTATGTTTTAGAATTTGTTTGGGAAGGAGTATTGACATTAAGGCTAAATCTTCACTATCTGGCATAGTTGTGAATGGATATATTCAGAACTGGCAAGCACTGGGATTTGTTTTGTAGGATGAGCACTTAATTTGCAAGCTCTTTGAAGCATGGATCTGTCTACAAACTCTGAAGCAGTGTGTTAATGTGTTTTGGGATTTCTACTCTGAGTTAGTGACACACCCAATGTGAAAATTTCAAACCAGGAGAATTTTTATCTGTTTTTATTTAAGTTTCTGTTTCACTTGCATAGCATGGGTCCTAAACATTCATTTAAAATATCCATAACCAACTACCCAATAAAAACAACAAATGGCCTGGTAGCACTTTATAGACTAACAAAACATGTAGACAGAAATGCAGCCTAGAGGGTATCTTGAGCTTTTGAGGGCACAGCCCACTTCTTCAGATGACCTGAGTTTCATGTTTTACTACCCAATGTTTTACTTCCCTTTTGTTTGTGTTGCCAGTTGTTTTTGACATTGTATGTTGTCTGTGTTGCTTTATTACTTATTTTACTTCTCTATGTGCATTAGTAATCAAATTAAGACTTGACATCCCAGAGAAACTGTATAAACCTGAATGAATGCCTTATTCCCTCTTTTCTAGTGTCAGTAAAGTGTAAATATTTGCAAGGAGAGCATGACTATTTCTAGTTGACTCAGATTTGTTTAGCATCTTAAAGCTCAGCTTATGCATGGATAATATGCATGCAAGAGGGATAATTTTGTGAATTGCAAAAGTCTACTTCATTTTTTTAAAGCAGCTTTAGTAGAAATTGTAATGTACTGTTCTATGGGTGTAGGTTGTTAAATTGGGACTGTGGCCCATATTTTTTATGCTTTTAAATTACCATCCATGTCTTTGATTTATTTATATAACTGTTTTCGGTATACCCCATTTTGGTGTATTTACTAGCTTGAGTTGTTAGAAAAGATGATAAAATATATGTACTCAATGGGTAGTGTTCATTTTCTTTTTATTTGATTTCATATTAAATAAACATTTTCAGCATTGCTCCTATTAATGATCACTTATTTTAATATTTTTCTTCCATACTTAAATATATTTTGATAAGCCATTCATATCTAAGTTCTTTGTGTTGGTGGTACACATGAACATAAATCTAAATATTGGTGTCCAAAATTCAACCCATTCAGACTGAAAATGTTAGAGGCAGGTTGGATAAAAATCTATTATTTTTATAAAAAATACAAAATTATTTGTATTTTATTGGTTTTTTTAAATCAGTAAAATACTAAATTCTCATTTAAAAGTAAGTTACAATTAAATCTTATCATAAACATGGTACAACTACATTTAGTCTCATAAAATGAATTAATGGCTCTAGCCTGCCCAGCCTAAAGAAGCAGCTCTTGCTTCTTTAAAGAAGTGTCAATTTCTTATTATAAATTACATAATACATGCCACTTATTTTGGAACATCCTAGTCACAAACCAGAACGATAACGCCACAAGTCTGTTCGCTATTTTACTTCAGTTTAACTCAGCTTTCACAGAGGAACGGCATTCTAGCTTGTCTTCAGCGGCGTTTATTCCAAAATTAAGTGAACTCGAAACACAGTCTTAGCTCTTTTAATAGCTTGGGGTGAAAAGTGCATTAAACTGACAGCAGGAGTGGGGAAGGGGAGCGAGCACGGTAGGAGTCTGGAGGACACCGCACAGTTAACAGGCCGAGGACTGGTCTCACGGAGTTAATACAATTTGAACGTTTTAGAGAAATGTTTAAGGCCGCTGCTGGCTGCGGGCCCGAGGCCGCTGTGAAGATGCACAAGGATGTAACAGTGGAGGGTTAGTGTTCTGTGTGTAGGGCTTAGCTCTTACCGTGTCTACAGGCCTTGGCCCGGCTCTCTGCGCTGGCCACGTTTTAGAGAAATGTTTAAGGCCGCTGCTGGCTGCGGGCCCGAGGCCGCTGTGAAGATGCACAAGGATGTAACAGTGGAGGGTTAGTGTTCTGTGTGTAGGGCTTAGCTCTTACCGTGTCTACAGGCCTTGGCCCGGCTCTCTGCGCTGGCCACACGGCTGCTGCCTGAGGCACTGGGAGCGCGGGGCTGCGGGGGGG